TTGGCATATGGATCTAAGATTGGACCAATAGCTAAAATCTGCTATTTATCAATTTGTCGCTGTCGCTATTAAAAATTTAGTCGATTGCTGAATTTATGTATGGGCCCAAATTATGGGCATTCCCAAGTAACATTTCTGGTTTTATAAGGGTTCTGTAGAGCATGATTTAAGCTTGTAGAATGCTATAAAACCTCTATAAAACTTTCAATGTTGCTTGGATTAGGCCGACATTACATCCATCCCTATTAAAGATTTACTTCGTAAAAAAACGTTTTTGAAAATAATATCAAATAACCCACAAAACTGAGCCGGCGCCGGTGGTGTAGTGGTAAGCGTGACTGCTTTCTAATACCCCAATGGGTCTGGGTTCAATCCCAGCCGAGGTCGGTGGGATTTTTCTGAGGCATAAAAAATCTCTGGTCACGTCTTCCTTCGGAAGGGAAGCAAAGCCGTTGGTCCTGGCCCATGTGTGTTGATGAATGGGTGCGATATCCTACCCAGGTGTGGGAGCTGCCTTCCTGCACATTCGATTGCCGTCAATGGATGGCAATCGATGTCCGTCGGTGATTGGCACTAGATTGCGGAACAGAGACCGACGTTAAATAAATGGAAAAGAACCCACAAAACTGGTATATTTTTTAATCAGAGTGACATTTAAGAACCGGAAATCGATGTCTGATGCCATTTTGAAATCCAAGATTGTGGCATCCGGTTGCAGAAAATTGGAAAATACCATCAAATACCCCACAATATGGGTATTTTTGGAATTAAAAAGACGGGAAGGACCGGAAATCGATGTTTGACGCCATTTTGAAATTCAATTTTTTTCCTTTATTAGAGAGACTTTCAGCCGTGGGCATCGAAATTCAAGATGGTGGCTCCCGGTTACAGAAAAACAGTCACACGTCACCCCGATTCCAAAAATACGCATATTGTGGGGTATTTTTCAGGATTCCAAAGTGTTTCTGTAACCGTAAGCCACCATCTTGGATTTCAAAATGGCGTCAGACATCGTATTCCGGTCCCTACACGTCACTCCGATTCCAAAAATACCCATATTGTTGGGTATTTAACAGCATTATTCTGATCTCCTGAAACCGGAAGCCTTCATCTTGAATTTCAAAATGGCGTCAAACACATCGATCCCCGGTCCGTACACGTTTCCCCAATTCCAAAAATACCCATTTTGTGGGGTTTTTGACAGCATTTCCCAGTTTTTCTGTAACCGGATGCCGCCATCTTGGATTTCAAAATGGCGTCAAACATGGATTTCCGATCCCTGAACGTCACTCTGATTCCTAAAATACCCATATTGTGGAGTATTTCACAGTATTTCCCAGTAACCCGAAAAAAAAACTCGTTATTTGAGATGTACTTCGTTAAACTTTCTTAAGCACGCCATCGTTTATTGGCAATATGGTTGAAAATTTTAAAACTACACTGGAGTCGCTTTTTACGCGGTTTTTTTTTACACGGTTTTTTTTACGCGGATTTCGGAATTTACGCGGTTTTTTTTACGCGGATTCCGGAATTTACGCGGTTTTTTTTACGCGGGACGTATCACCCGCTTAAAAAGCGACTCCAGTGTATAACACTTCGGAAATTTCGAATTATAAATGTGCTAATTAGTTGGCCATTTTCAACCAGCCCGTCAATTTCCAGCAAGCGCTTCCAATAATTTGATATTACGTACACACAAAATTCAGCGTATTTGTAGTTCGGTGTCAAAATTTCAGCTCAATTGATCATAACAAAAAATAGTTGCAATATGCCTAAGTTGGCTAGTGTTCGCACCCCTCCGGTGAGAATGAAAAATGATTTTCAAAAGTAGGTATTTTGACGGACAAACTCAACTAAAATATATTCAAAATTAACAAACTAATCACATTAAATTAAATAAAATTTAGGTTTTCAACGCCTACTGCAAGTTTTCAATGCCAATCTACCTTTGGCGGGCTCAGGTCCTATCAATTAATTAAATAAAATACACTGAACAACATGTCACCTTTGAATGAAAATTGGGCTATTGTGGTAATTTAAAAGCCACCACTGTAAATTGAATACTGCGTAAAAAATACTTCGTAAACGGAGGTTTCCGTGTATTCATTTAAAGAAAGCTGATAAATCGGTTATTAATGAAATAATGCATTTCTCAGTGTAGAAGGCCAAATCCTGTAAAAAGCATTACCGAGCAATGACAATAGAGTTGAGTGTGCTGTGCATTTTAATTTGATTTAAAGGTGTCATAATGAAGGGTTTGATCAAATCAGAAACAGGCATCTTCCCCGGGATACCCGAAACATGTTAGTTTGTAACCATTGTTGTCTTGTGTACTAGATATGGCTACCATTAAACTATTAAACTTGCGTTCTCAGCAGTGTTGGAAAAATCATCAATCAAATGATATTTGTCCGCTCTCATACGCTCTCAATATCATGTGTGGTATTGGAACAAAATATCATGTTGATCATATTGATTTAACAAGCTCCTTTGATATTGCGAGACTATTCACAACGTGCAAAAATCAAGCTGAGAGTTGACTCAACACATGATTCCGTTGCTCATCGTTTTCTTAGAAAGAGAAAGTATAGTTTGCTATCTATTTTTACTGTTCACCGATGACAGACACGAAGTGACATCTGCCAGCCATTATGGAAGTTTCGGTTGCGTTCGGGTGTAAAGCAAAAATCGTGAAAATCAATCTCACCACAGTTTGTTGAGATTTGCAGCTGGTGAGTTTTGTTAGCTTGATATTCTGAGCTGTGATATCACAGCTTCCAAAATCAACCGCAGTTGTTTACTTGTTGATTTTAGTCTACGAAAATCAAGCGTGATCTTGGGCATTGGTGAGATTTGATTTTTTGATATTTTCCCAACACTGATTCTCAGTAATCAACATTGGTCTTCTTAGTGAGAAAAATAAACGATGATACTGATATTTGACTATGCATCGGAGTCCTGGTCCCCGAACCATTTCTTGAATCCAATCTCAAAACAGAGGTTCATAATCGTCTACAAGAAGAGCTGAGGGCCAGAGTTTAATGTGGTAGAACTTACATCCCGTAACGTACCGCGAAAAGGTGATCTCAGTGAGGTTTGTTTTTTAGCTTCTGAGTAGCAATTTATCGAAAATATTAAGTTTTGATTGATGGAGGCTCATGACAGTTTGAGTATGAGTATAAACTACAATCTTAAAAAAGTTCACATTTTCAGGAAAAAATATAACATGCAAGCAATTGGTCCCGAGACTATGAAATTCATGAAAATCGATTACAATCAATGTTTTTCAATGTAAAACCACGGTTAAAATCGATATTTTTGTTTTTCTTAAAAACTAGAAGGACTTAATTGAAAGGTAGAGATAGTTTGAAAAGTTTTATGTACAATTCGATTTTACGCACAATTCAGAAACGAAAATGTGCATATAATCGAGGTAAAGGCTGACTAAAAGTAAATTGGTACGCCCCTCGCGCGCCGCTAGTACGCCTCTAGTGTTGGGAATCGAAAATCTTTGAAAGTGGTTTGTTTACACTTCTATAGAGAACAACTGGTGCAAGTATGATTAAAGTTGTCGATCGCGTTCAGAAATAACGTCAAATGGAACTCAAAAGAAAAAACATATTGTGCACAAGCACCTGGAAAATCCGGAGTGGTCCGGTTCCAAGCTGGCTAAAGTGCTGAAGATGCCGAAAACAACAGTTTGTCGAGTGCTCAAAACCTACAAGGAAATCCTGATTGTGGAAAGGAATCAGTGTACCTACGAAAAAACTTTAACCAGGGATTGTCAGCTGCGCAGCAAGGTGTTGAGGTGCGTTAAAGCCAACCCCGGTTTTTCGATCCAAGATGTGGCCAGAAGGTACAACGCCAGCTTTCAAACGGTGCGGAACATCCTTGCCAGGGAAGGATACAAGTCGTATAAAGCCAGTAAACATCCGAACCGACACATGAAGCAGAATTCCGTGGCCAAAAAGCGTGCAAGGTTCTTGTACGACCGTGTTTTGACGAAACACAAGGGCTGCAATTTGATTGATGACGAAACTCGATTTTAAGAAGCTTCCCGGTCTAAAGATTTACATCGTGACTGGACGTGGGGATGTGTCGGGAAGATTCAAGTTCGTGTTTGCCGACAGGTTCGCGAAGAAGGTAAAGATTTGGCAAGCGATTTGCAGTTGTGGCCTGAAAACGGAGCTATTCATCACATCCTCGACGATGACATCCCAAGTTTACATCAAAGAATGCCTGAATTTCTACCAATCAAAAAATACTGGGCAATTTCAAAGCAGCGACTTCGACAAAGCGGCAGGGCAGTCAAGGACATCCAGCAAATGCGGACTAAATGGAAGAAATGCGCTGATTCCGCGTCCGTTTCCACTGTGCGGGCACTGATGGGCTCCATCAAGAGGAACGTTCGAGATTTCGTTCGAACTGGAGAAATGTAACCATCTAATGCTGTAACTTTGAATTTTTAATAAAAGTACTGTAAAGCAACCATTAATGGACTTTTTAAACTCATTGAATCTCGAATTACAGGTCTTTTTGTGCGTACCAATTTACTTTTAGTTACTTATACATGTTTTAGGAAAAAATGTGATATTTTGAACCATCTTACGTAAGGGGCCGGCGAAATTATAATGGCGGAATAAAAAAATACTGGTTTAATATTTATCGATAAGGAACAAAATTATCAATTTCTACGAAATTCTAACTCCAACTATTTTCTATGGAATTGCTGCAAAGGTAAACGCTCCGAACAAATTTGATTGCAAAGATTTCAACCTCAGAAGAAAGGTTTGTGTATTTGCTCATTTTTATATGCGTTGCTTCCATCTTCGCTCAAACGCAGCGCTACTGTATCTTTCGCTTGGATTATGGCAAAGTTTCCAGTCTTCTTGATATGATGTCTTCATTTAACGGCAATACAGAATGGTTTAGATCTGTTTATTATAAACTCTGTGATAGTTTCACATTAATAACTGCTTTCTGTTTCTCTTTTGTTTCAGGGTAAAAGATCACGCACAGAAGGACCTGAATCTACAGAAAGAAGTCGGTTAGTATCGAGAAACATGTTTTTATAAGTTTAGTATGTCCTTACCTATGGATTTTATCTATGGTTTACCCTTAAGATTTGTCAAATATTTCCTTCTTTTTTTTGCTTTTCCAAATTCCAATTCCATAAAACTAGCAAGCAGTGATAAATGAAAAAAATGAAATACCCATCTCTATTTAAAACTGATTCAAGTTCAAATCACAGTGCCCTCATCCAGCCCACATGCAGCCAGCCAACCCGCAAAGCCATTACAATGAGAGCACTACTGGTGGAATAAATAAAATCTCAAATTACACCTCTGTGCTCCGAAATAATGGCTGCCTGCTGGCATTTAAATCTACCATCTGAATGGACCATATTGCCTGGATTGCTAACCCAAACGAGGAGCAACAGGATAGTTACGGGATTACAGAGAATGCTGAAGCATCTAGTTGAGCATCCAGCACCTGCTTTGTACCTTACGTACCTGGAATTGTAAGCGCTCGTCGTAGGCATTATGAAATTGGACCGCCTCTGGTAATCACTTCGTCTGCATATTTAGTTGGGCAAGTTTTTACTACTAATTTGCCTATATACACGGTGCACGTCAGACTGAATCATAAATAGATTCCCATCGTAGTTTCCATCAGCATCATCATTATGAGCGCACGCAACCCCGTCGCAGATGACGATTCTTTTGATGTTTTTCGCTTATAAAAAGAGAATCCCTTCCAGAACCAGACGTCAGTCAGTCATTCATCCAACGGCGACGGTGGCGGCCCCGAAAAATTATCACAAAGCAGGAACCAACCAATGTTCTAAAAATAGTTGTCTGACAGCCGTTTTGTGATGTGACATATATTCTCCGCTCTGATGAACGTTCTAGGCATAGATTTTTTTGCTGTTGCTTTTCCATCATAATTATATTCGCTGCAACATGGGAAAAGAGTCATCATAGCGCGATGAACATATAATAATTAGCGATCGTCAAGCGACCTCTTTAGCGGTTGCTCATTTGAATGCCTACTTTGAGTTAGTGGAAGAACATCACCATGTCAGATCCAAGTCGGCGGGGCGGTCGGTTCAACAAATGTGATGTAACATTTTTTTTTCGTAGGTTAAAGCTAATAACATAAAAAACGATCTGATTTTCCTCCGACGGCGATCGGTAGCACCAGAAAAGTATCAAATTCTACTTGAGAGTACATTGGGGACGACGAGGCGCGGTGTTGGAAAATCTACTCGGAAGCCGATTTTTTTACCCCGGCTCCGCAAAGTTAACGCCGGGATGCATTTGTTTATGCTCTTGAAAATCGTTAATTTATGGCGATGGGGATGGAGAACGACAGCAGAGAGGAATTTTATACGATAGCTATTTTGGTGCTATTGTTTTTGAAGAACGATGTGGTAATAACACTCGTATTACGGCATAATTATGTCGTCATGCTTCCGGTGCTCTTCGGAGAATGTTCAAAACTGTAAAGTTGTTCAGCAATTGGATCATTCAGTGCTTTATGGAAGGTTGGAATTATGCAAGCATTGTGTTGGTATGAAAAATCAAAATGATTGCATGCTGGCTCTACGCCTCCTTTGTCCAGTGAAAAGCATCCATTCTGCTCTTATCCGGGCTGAAGACGGTGTGAGATGTCGGTTCTTCACTGCTCACTTCATATTCAAACATCCACACCACAACAACGCATACAAAATTCCAATCGATGACTAACGTGTCAAAACCGCACTCACGAGACTGCCTAAATATCCCATCAAATACCCTCAAACATTATCATCATAACTGTGTGACATCCAGCAAACTGCTCTTTCGAACCGATATCGATAACCGAGCTAGCTGCCGTTTAGCATTGATTATCACTTTAATGGGCGGACAGGCGTTTATCTAAATATTCCGGGTAATTTGAAATTTGTTGAATCGATAACCAAAACCAACAGATCCCCTTCGTGGGTACGGTGCAATACTGCTAGGCTGCTGTGTGCTGGTCCATCCAATCGTCACCCCTGCTCATCTGCATATTGATGGCCTCCACAGCTATTTCCATCTCTCACTCATTCTCTCTCTCACAGCTTGTCTTGTTTGTTTTATCTCGGCATTTATTCGTCTAATTTTTTTCCATGTCCACCTAATTTCGTCCCCGCTGCGGTTGTCACACGCAGGGGTTTCGAGTTATAAATTCATGTTTTATTCATAGAACATTTCTCCTTCCCCTTGCTAACGTTAAGGCCTTTTACGGTCCCCAAGTGATCCAAGAACAACGAACGTACACTTTTCCCAGGCCCATCTCCACCGTCCGTCGATCTGAGTGATGGCAGCGATGGGTCCATAAATAAGCTGTCTCCGAAAAATCAGCCTCGAATCACCTCCCTCGGCGATAATGGGTGGTGCCCCACTGTTACCCTACAGCCCATGGCGAGAGGCAAGGAAAAGCATGCATACAGAGGGGTAGCGCTGGGTAGAATGATCGAATCTGTGCGAAAGTGTCATCCGTATGCAAATGCGATTCGTACGCAGAAGTGTAGTTCTTGCTGTCACTTCACACGCACTGGAAAGTTTGACCATAAATTTGCGCTACTCATCATTCTAGCTGCCGACGACGGAGTGATGAGTTGACAAATGTCTACAAGTAAGAGAAGCTCAAACATCGCCATTAGGATTGGCAATACATTTTTGACGTAGGACCACGTCTGTGATTTCTATATGGGGGTACACTTTGTGAAAACCAAAAATGGAACATGTAACAAAATTATGAAAGATTTTGAACGTTAATAACTCAGCAGCCCCTGGACCAATATCAATAATTTTATCATCAATCGATTAGAAATATTTCTACGCATCTGTTGAATTTAAGACATTATCATTTTTCAAAATTTCACTATTGAAAATTACACGAATGTGGAACTGTTGCTCTGATAATTGAAATTATCACCGATTGCCTGCGAAAAGCGATTTCCCTAACACAGATTTCAAAGTTGCATTCCATCTGGTCTCACCAAACAATGTTTATTCAATCACCGCGTGGTGTTCTCCGGTACACAACGAAAGGCTGCCTGCAAGCAGCGAGCTTCAGCCCACATGAGCATCCATAGAAGGAGGAAGAAGCCGCACCGCTATTGATCGGAATCAGTAGCTCTTTGTGAGTCGCTGTGGGCCATCTATATCAAGCGTGTCATACTAAAGAGTATAAACAGAGAGAACCCCGCTCAAATTCCTATTTCAACATAGAACACAAGTAGTACTACGTCACCAAAATACATGAAAAATGACACCCCTACACTCTATCGATCATAATCAAGTTTCCTTATTCTCGATTTGATTCAGATTTTTAAAACTTGTAGTTCAATTAATGGTTAACAACTTTGCTGAAGATTGCTTCATGAATCCAGTTAGTTTTATTGAAATATTCGCCTTTGAATGTAAGTGAGCATTTTGTATATGATAATTTCAACCAAATCTCCTATATCAACATTAAACCAAAAGCACCAGCCCGTGTGCACATCAAAAAGAGCTGAAACATTTAGAGAGTGGTTATTGCACCAAAAGACCCGAACCTGGATGTTGGCCTGTGGAAAGTATGAACTTTTATTTTTAGTGGTAATCTAGTTGATACGTTGCATAAACTGCCTGTATTTTTATGCATTATACGAGCAGAATGCTCATGTAAATACAAGAATGAAAATCTCCGTAACACTATTGAGCTTGCCAGCGACGTTCCGGATGGAGAGGTAAGGATTCCGCTTATATTTCACCTCCACCTTCTTCGTCGTCGCTGCCACGTCCGGATTACGATTGCCGCCGCTTCCAGGCTTCTTGGCGGTCGACAGATGCTCTCTGAACACTTTTAAAACGTTTGTCACGGTCGATTTGACCACATCCAGCAATTTTTCCCACTTGGCGTGTGAGAACGTCGGATTTTCTTGCTGCACGAGCAAAATTTTGACACGCTGCTCCTCTTGCTTGGACGTCATTTTGAAAACTGGAGAGCAAACGGCGAAAACTCATCATAGCAACCATTGTATATACACTCAACTTCCAAATGCAGCATTTCAGCTTGATTTAATGCATTTTTAACAGAAATACACCAATTTGAAGTAGACCAATTTTTTCGCGTTCCAGACTTTATTTAGATTTCTGGTTGACAGGTTATATTCCGAAGATCCTAAACTGTCCAGCAATTCAAGTATTCAAATATTCTCTCAAGAAACCTCCAAATTTTTCCAAAGATCTTCAGGAGATCAGAGATCTTCAAAAGCTTTTCTGAATACAAATCACGTCTCTCAGATATTCTCTCATGATACCAGGTTACTCCGAAATTATTTCAAAGATCATCAGGCTCATATCCGTGCTAAAATCATCGAATCAAACAAACTTTGCACACGTACACATATGTAGGGTTCAATACCAAACACAGAACTGTTGAGTAGTTTGAAACTATTTTGAAACTCAGCATTTATTTTTCCTTGATTTTGTTTTCCGTACTGATTAAAGGGCGAACACGAAATTATTGCGACACATTCAACAGGGCATAACTTTTTTACCATTGGGAAAAAAATCAACCAAATTTTGCACACTTTCTCATTGATGTGTATTGTGTACATGCTGTCAAACTCGAAGTCGTGTTTTTCGATTCAACGAAAATGGAGGTGAACCAACGCGAGTTGAGAGAACAAATTCTTTCCCAACACCTGGAATTTCTTGACCTGTCGCACCGGCAGTTGGGAAAAATGTTGAACATTCACCATTCAACCGTCTCCAGAGTGTTGAAGCGGTTCCAGGAGCGGTTGACGTTGGACCACGGCAATGGAGCTGGAAGAAAACCGGGACCGGAGAACAAAAAGACAAGAAGAGAGCTGGACTACATACATACAAGGTACAGAACTTCCCAAACCGCGATGAGCGGCAACAATCGACGGCTAAAACTCGGGCACGGAAGCTCTACGAGAAGATGCTGACAAAATATGGCTGCTGTGTGATGGACGACGAAACGTATATAAAAGCCGATTTTAAGCAA